AATAAATCTGTTTTTGACGAAGCCTGTTTGGTTCAATTGCTGGATATTAGCCTCTATCTTTTTTGCGTTTTTATGGGCCTCGACGGTGACTCGTCTCAACACTCAAGGTCCGCAGTTAAAATAATTGAGAAGAATCTGCTACCTTTCTATAACATCGAGAAATGGTTAGATTTTCTTGTCCTCTCGGATAGGGACGAATAAATTGAAGTCCCGTCTCCGGCAGGGTCGGGGTAGGAGACGTTAATTTCCCACACACGAGATTACTGTGTGATGGATGTCCTCCTCTGGGGTGGGATGGGTGGGAAGGTGAGATTGAAATGGACTGAATCGAATAAGGCATTCACCATTCGTCTCGGTTCATCAAAACGCGAAAAAATAACACGGCTAATATCCTGCCATCTTGACCTCACGCTTGGCCGTTGACGTATATGTATTTTTGCAGTGTGACTCCAACAAAGAAGCCAAGCTCTTAGTCTCAGTCCATAGTCCCTACATTTCGAGCAGATCACTCAAAAATCTCCCCGTGGCGTGCCAACATAATTTTTTGTTTTCAGTTACTTTTTTTTTCACTCCCGCCACGGACTTCGCCGACAAAATATGGGAGAGACTGCACGTAGTTCAAATATGTTGGCGTAAAAACAACGGGAATTATGATAATCACAAATCCTGAGCAGACAAAGGACATGCTGGAGTAGTTCCATTCAGTCACTGATACCTACCATGGAAAGATGAGGACATTGATCAAAACAGGGAATTGTTTTCACGACGTAGTCAAGTGGTTTGATTGGCATGAGTTTTGCTTCACAAAGCCCCTTTAGATTTGCTAAAAAAAAACTCACGCCACCCTCGAAACTAATCAGATGCGAAATTTTAACCAATCGTTACTTGAATTAGCCGCCCAGATAAATGTCTATACCTTAGTAGGTCACAAATCAGCAAGAGAGTCCATTGTCTTTTTGACAGTTAAAAGTTTCCGAAAAGCCAATCAAATGAAAGTTCTAGCATTCTGTGATAAATATACGAAGGTCGTAATACCTGTTTATGTAAACTATTCAGCTCTCCAACGACATTGAAGAGAACGAGAATACTAACACTTTCAATGGAAAAGGTCTGGGAATTGTTAGTGCCAAAGACTTTCGGAAGACTCCAATATGTGGCAGTGTTTTTTTGGATACTTATCGGTGGAACCTTCCTCGTTGTCTTCCGCGACATGGAAAACAAAGAGTCCAAGTTAGATATCTACTGTGGCAAGAGTGAAAACATCGAACTCGTGCAGAAAAGATGTTTCGACAAATACGAGAAGGAACACAACAAATTTGGTTTTCCTATCTATGGTTTTGTTGTGATTAACTTCGTCGTTATT